AATTGATTTGCACTGAAAGCATTTGAGCTGAGGTTAGGAATTTTGTGACTGTCCAAATTTTGGGGACTAAGTTGGAGTGAATCTGGGACTCTGCCATACTGTAGGGATGGATTGAGTTGGGAATGCTTGATTAGTTGCAAAAGTGTATAAGTGGAAAGTGGTGACTAAATTATTTTTCCTTTTTGTTTTCACAATTTAATAGAAGGTTAGTTTAGGATTATTGAAAAAGAATCTAGTAGGTTATTGGGCCTAAATGGTTACCTAAATAGTAAAAGTAAGGGCAGTAAGTATAATTTTGAATACTTGAGGGGAGCTATCCATAATTAACAAAAACTTTGGGGGAGGTTTCTGAAATTATCCCAAATTTCAATGAATTTGTGTAAATAAAACTTATCATATTGATGGGAAAAAGAAGGTGCTAATTCGACTGTAAAGGAAAGAAAATGGTGCAGGAGTTTCCCTTCTCACACATTCTAGACACACAAATGTGAAGCGTAATGATATGTATAGTATGTACCTCTGCATCCCAGTTGGTTCGACAAGTGACCCAAATTAAGATAAGAGTCTGCATGGCCATTCCTCCTGACAGTCCAGACCATATTCCCTACAAGCAAAAGTGGAGAAGACCAGGCATTTGCCCTTTTCCAAGATTTTATTTATGCCCACTAAACTTGTACTATGATAAATTTGAACAGAATCACAAACCTTAGCACCAAGTTTGAATTTGAAAGCAAGCAGTGTACCCAAGGGAACCCCTACACCGTAATAGCATCCAACGTTGACATAAGCTACAAACTTCTGCCATCCGCAACCAACAGCAACCCCTTCACCAAATTCACATGGAAAAAGAAAAAAGAAAAAAGAATCATCAGCCACAAGCTAGGACGAAATGACTGATAATTATCATCTATAACAGAACTGAATGTTTGAGACATTAATGATATAGTAGCAGAAGTTTCAACCTCAAGTATCAATAGCATTTGTCTTAATGCATAGAGCACACGTTTTAGAGCATATATGTATCATGAAGTATCTTGTCCTTGACGCTGGAAGAATGCAGGATTCTGAACTTAAAATTAGAGAGAAATTAAACTTTTCTGATTACCGGACAAAATCGGTTGAATGCCATTAAGAGTGATCGAAATTGCCAAGATCGGCATAAGCTCTGAGGTTGCGATGGCAATTTGTTTACCACTAGTGAAGGCATAACTTATGACATGGCGATATGCGAGCACCAAAATGGCAACGGTCAATGCGATTAGGGATGAGCTTGCAGTCACAACCAATACGGAAAATGCAGCAGCTTTGGCATGTCCAGCTCCAAGTTCATTGCTAACCCTCACACTGTAAGAATAAGAGGATGAGTTCTTGATCAGATTCCATACTGTCTAAATCCACTTGCCCTTTTCATAACAAAACAATTGTCTAGAAGAGTAATCCGATCCATCCATATTTTGTAATTTTTTTCCATATCATTTCAAAATCCTGCCCGATCGTGAGAAAAAAAAAACTATCTAGAATGCTTTCCGGAGGATTGATTACTGCCTTCAAGCAAGTATTAACATATAGATGACTTAATCATAATTAAGAGTTGCTTTTGCCAACTAATCACACATTGAGTGACGAAAAAGTTTATTTCACCCTCGGGCGAAGAATTTGTGTGGAAACATATCACATTAGAATACTAAAATGTAATGCAAAATAGGAATTAATATGACTAGAAATCATTGTAGCAAATATTATATCTAGCAAAATTCAAAAGTCGGACATAAAGGAGAGGAGAAGAATTCTTGCCTGGCTGCTGCATTGAACCCTGATGAGATCATAAACATACATCCGTTGATTGTCAAACTGCATATGAGGCCATAAATCTCTATTCAATGAGAAGTTAAGAATTTTATTGGAAAACCATATACAGCAAAACACTGGGGGAGACATCTTCAACATCTTCTCTAGTTAGAAGGAACAGGCACTATTCCAACTTTTTTGGATCATAAAAGTTTATTCTAACAGCACTTAAATTTGCATCATTTTCGTAGAAGGAAAATATTTGCAGCATTACTGATGATCGAAATATTATGGTTGAGGTAGCCGTCTCAAAGATCTGAAAGTCACACTTGTCCCTTCTAGAAAACGACACATTCAAATGGACACGTAAAACAATTAGATTACTACTGCATTAAGCCCAAAAAAAAATCTCAAAATAAATTGTAGCCCCTAATTAAAACATACACTTAAGTCTGGGTAATCCGCCAATTATATTTAGAGGTAAAGGGATGAGATACATATGAAATGCAAGCGAAAGAAAAGAGGAAAAGTAGTATTCTTTCAGCATACCAAATAGACACTGTCTCCAATGCCACTTCAGGATTTGGTAGTAAACCTGCAATCAAAACCATTATCTGGAAATACCAACACTCTAGGCAGAGCATGACAGCTGATGCAGCTGACAGTTTATAGAAGCTCCATAATCCAGAAAATGCCTGCATGCTAAATCCATTCCAAGTCTTGCGACATCTATCACTCACCAGTATATAGACAAACTGAGGAACCACTATCAGCACCCACGAGAAACTCAACACAAATGCAGCACCCAAAAGTCCCCATCCGAATTTAAACAGTGCGAACCATGTGAGCAACATGTGGACAGCCAGTGCAACTGCTGCTATGACTGCACTGGGGAGGATAATGCTCTGGGCTTGCAAGAACTTTTGTATCGGAAAATTGAAAGCATACAGGAAAATCTGAGGAATCAGGCCGTAGACGAATACAGCAGCTGCAGATGCAACCTCTTTTTTCTGGCCTAGCAAGAGGAAAATAGGCTTGGAGAATATGTAAGCTATCATAAGAGGAATTGCAGTTGCCACAAGTAGGATAGCAGCTCTCTGCAAGTAAATTCCTAACATATCATACTTTTTAGCTCCATATGCTTGCCCACACAGGGTCTCCACAGCACTTCCCATACCAAGCTGCCAAAAATATTTCCATAGTAATTAATTAACACATATTAAATATTTATGTTCATAAGCTTTTGCAAGACTAACGCTTTCTTAAGTCTTAACTAAGACAAATTTTTGTACTTGAATTACGATTTGGATTTCGGTTAGTAATTATCGATTAAAGAGTAGAGAGAGAAAAAAACAAGATTTTGATGTCATGCACTGGCACGTGAATTCTTGCATGGATTATTTATTTATGCCATGCCATTAATTTTGTAAATGGACACGTCAAATCTGCAAGCGTGACACGTATTGAAGGTTCTTGTGGTTGTCAGAAATCGGCAATGCGGTCATGGAGAAAAATTTCCAACTTACCATGAGTCCAAAAGCCAAAACTGAGAGTCCATTGTTACCAAGGGAAGAAGCTGCAAATTCAAGATTGCCCAGATGGCCACAGAAAACCTGTGTTGAAGTTGACATAACGGAGTTGAGAAGGTATACTATGCATGCAGGTGCTGCAATTTGGAAGAGAGTCTTCAACTCGGCGCCGGTGGCCCACCAGAGTCGCCGGAACCTCGGCAAGCTTATGTCCGATAGTATTGCTTCAGTTTTGGAGTCTATTGTTGTTATGTGCTCCGATGCCGGTTGTTCGGATGGTTGCTGCTGCTTAGCATCATGCACCTGATTTTCTTGATTATTGAACTCCATAATTTTTTATGTTTATGATTTCCTTACTGAAGAATCTGGAGAGCTTTTAGTTTGTCCCTTTTGGGAGTAAAAACATCAGCCTTGTTGGTAATGGCGGACAATGAGGAAGTGAGAACTCGATTCTGAGGAACAAAACACAAAAGTGCGATTGTCCTGTGATAAAGGGCTAAAATTCGGTATATATACTATAATTTAAAGAGATAATGTGATAATAATAATTATGTAGTAATGTTATAAAATAAAAAGGTATTTTTGTTAAATATTTATTAACATGCTGAGTTGAATTATCTATGGGTGAAATAATTAAAAGATAATATTATGAAGTAAATTGATAGTAATGAATAAGTTTAAGGGAATAAGTAAGAGCAACTGCAGCGCGGGTGCAATGGAGAGCCATTATTGGAGCCGTGTCATGGAGATTACACGCATGATGCGTGTAATCCATTGAAGATGGGACTCATGATTAAATGTAAAATAATTCTAGTCACCAACGGTTATATCCAATATTTGCTTCAACGGTAAATTTGCAAGCACACAACACATTTTAGCTTTCTAATGGTTATATCCAACGGTTAGATTTTAGCCTTCTATATAAACACACAACACTTTTTTTAAAACATATCTCACTATTCTACTCTATTATTTCTTTTACTCTCTCACTCATTTAATTCATTTTTTGTGATTATGGATGAAAATTTTAGTAGTTTTACAAATATGTTAATTGCTCCAAATATAGAAAATTCATCATCCTCACAAAATCAAAACCCTCAAAATTTTCCAAATTACCCATTTTCTGGTATTCCTACAAATGTACAAAATTATGCATTTCCCCCAAATTTATCCACTTGCAATCATCCATCAAATTTTCAAAATCTGCCAAATTTTTCATGTCCAATTCCCATGTATCCCCCACCTCCTTATTTTAATCCAAATATGGGAAATCACTACACATCGGGGTATTATAACTTTGGTATGGGTTATGGAGGCTCAAGTGCTCCGTCGGAGATAAGGAAGGATTTTGATTTTGCCGGCCAACAACAAAATACTACATCAACGGAATCAATGCCGGACTCTCAATTTCCACCATATTCAACACAACGTGGGCTAGATAACATTACTCTCACCAATGAGTCAATGGAAGAATCTGATTATAAACGCGTTCCATGGAGTGTGGATGATGACAAGATACTTGCAAGTGCTTGGCTCACAATTTTTAATTGTAGCATTGTGGGTAATTCTCAAAATGAAGAGAGTTTTTGGAAATGAGTCACGGAATACTTCAACGAGAATCGGCAATCTGGGCCGCCAAGAAAATATAAAGCTGTGAAATCACATTGATATTGGTTGAGTCAAATGGTCAATGAATTTAACCAATGCTACAACAAATTGGTTGGAGAACATTATAGCGGGTGGAATGATGATCAAATCAAACAACATGCACGAGAGCTTTTTCACCAGAATAAGAATAAGCATTTTGTATATGAACATGTATGGGTGATGTTGAAAATTGATCCGAAATGGAAAGCAAATACTCCTATGCAGCGTTCTTCAAAAAAGGTAAGGACTGATGAAAGCGGGGCATACACTTCTTCATCCAATGTGGATTCAAGTTTTGACATCGATGATAGTGAAGTTCGTCCACTTGGTCAAAAAGCAGCAAAAAAGGAAAAGAGAAAGGAAAAATCAAAAACGAATGAGCAAGATGTTGATGGAGAACTTAATCAAATCCGGAGGATGTTGAAAAAGCACAAAGAAGAAAAATTGCAAGCTATGGAAAACTTAGCAAATAAGTTAGACAATTATAATTTTGGAAGTGATTATGAAATCTTATTGAAGGATACCCCAGGCATGTCCGAGCAGCAGCTTAAAATTCATGAGCAAATGTGTTCCATCCTAAAAGTCAAGTATAATATTCCTTAGTTTAGCTTTAATTTCATTGTTAGTAATGTAATTTTTTAATTTTCCATTTTACATTTAAGTGATTAATAAAAATTTGTTTGCACTATGTACTTTTATAGTTAATTTTGCATTTTACTATTTTTATTACAATATTAAAACTAGCCGTTGGAAACTAGCTCTAATAAATATTTGATTTAATTGTGGACCCATGCTATTACAACTTATGGAGTGTAATCCATTGTCAGTGAAAGTGTAATAAAAGAGGAGAAAGTGGAATGCTGACGTGGCATGTGAATTACACTCCACAAGGTGCAATAGCATTGTGGATGCCCTAATAATAAACCTTATTATTATTATTATTGATACATGGTTGCATGTATTAGTATGATATAGATATCGTAATTACGGTCACTCTATATGGTTGATTATAGCCTTAGGATTTTGAGTTCTATATATAATCGGATATTTTCATAGTTTAGTATTAGAAATTTGAGTTTTATAATTTTTTTGTATTTTCCAAATTTTCTATATATAATAGGATTTTTTTTGTACTACGCTCTAAATTTATACAAGGTAAAATCTTCTTGTTCTTTTGAGTATTTCTTTGCCTAAAAATCCAAATTTCTTATAGAAATGATATAAATTTGTGAAAGAAGATTTAAGAACCAACATGTTGAGCAATAGACTTCGAAATTTTTGTTCACAAAAATTCTATATCTATATTCACGAGGGAAAAAAAAGGGAAAACATCCAAAACTTTCAAGATTAATCTTTCCTACACTGTCAGCATTGGATGAATGACAATCATGCAAAATTTGAATATCACACATATCATAAATCAAACGATGTTAGTGTATACACTGTCAGTGTATATAAGATTTACTCAAACTTTCTTTTGGGAGAGGAAATTTAGAGACAAATGAGTTTGGGAGTTTAGATCACATCATAGATCCAAATACCAACCGAATCCAAAGGTGTCGACAAAAGCCCATAATTTTGTCCACTTTACAGTATAGAAGCTGAGTCTCCAAAATACGCTGCTCTTCCTTTCCGTTGTGCAGCGGACGAAATCAACCATCCACTCCATGAGACAAATCAACATGGCAACTAAATCGGTTTTTAGTGTTTTTGAGTAATTGATCTTGTTTCAACCTTTTCTATCATAGACTGAAATTTAAGGTGTAGGCAAAAACGCCATTATCCAATCTATTATTCATTTTTGCGGGCAAAATCATTAATTTTTTTAAATAAACTACGCATATTTACGTTCGTCGTACGATTTACGACTAATTCTGCTAGAACTGGAAATTCATCCCTCTTTGAGAAAACTCATGATGGGCCACTGGGTTGTGGTGTCGTGTGCGTGGACTAAATTCATCATTCGAAAAGATAACTCAAATTGGGCCACTGAATTGTGGTTTTATATACGCTCTGCACCAAACTTTTGACAAGATTCAAACTCACACCAACTGCACGGAACTAGAATGGACAATATCAGGGTGTCAATCAGGTCAGGTTTCATGACCCGAACTTTAGCAAATTCACGCTTGTCGCAGAAAATAAATAGTAAGACTTATGGATTTTCGAGCTCAAGGATAGATTAAAAGGTTCAAATTCAATTCATACTTTAATACAAATTTTAAGGTTACATCGGGTTCAGCTAAAATTCATAATTCAGTACATAATTGTATTTAATCTACTAATATTCATAAATTAATATATAAATCATTAATATTTTTATGTTATATTATGTAAAATTATATACTATATACATCATTTTTTATACAATTATACATATTAAATATGTAATTATGCATATGCATGGTCCGGATCTTAATAAGGCTTGAGTTGAGTGAAATTCAACCTGGACTCACATTTAATTCGTGCTTATTATTCAGATTTAAACTCTAACTCACCCCATTAAACGTAACACTCATAGAATTTTTTTGGAGCCGAACAGGCTCTACAAGAAGAGTGAAAAGGTGAAACTACCACTGACACTGATTAAACCTAAAAGTGGCAATGCACAAGCAGTGATATCCAGTCTGATTTTAAGAAATTGTAGACAAAATCAAGGCTGAGGGCTGCAATTATGCCAATTCACCCATGCAAATTTAGAGCAATTGCCGTGTTTGTGAAGAATGCTTGACTGATACTATATGTAGATGTACAACAGTACAAGCTGTTGCTTTGGCAAAGGCGATAAAAAGACATGATACTCAAAATGGGGTGTCATTTTCTATATTTCCAAGTGGTAGAGTCGTTTTTTTTTTTTTTTTTTTTTGTGTCAAAAGGTGAATCTTGTAGTTGGTGAACTTGTATCAAGTACAAGATTCACCACTCCACTTATTGAAATGAACTTGTACCTAGTACAAGAATTACCACTTGTAGAAAAAACACAGCCCATATAACAAGAATTACCACTTATAGAAAACAAGGTGAATCTTTTTTGTTTTCTCCTCTACAAGTGCATTTTTTATTTATTAGATATGGCAAAGTATGTTTACAAAGCAATTCCTGGCCCTATGCACCCTAACTTGTTCTATATATAACAAGTAGCTCAAACTAGCATTTCAAATACCATATCCCTTTATTTCAAATTGTCATGCCCCATTTTTTGAAAAAATAATAATATTAATAAAATTTAAGGTGTTAGAAAAATGAATTTTTGATTAATTTTTATTTGAAATTAGTTTTTTTGTTTTAGAGAATAAATAAAGAAAAATGGCCTAAAATGGGACTTAAAAGTGCGACGGTTTTGACCCAAAATAATAGTTTAAAAGGGTTTTCAAGCAAACATAGGAGTCGCCACTTAGTATTGAGTTAAGGTGTATCAAGTCACCCAAAATATGTTTTTTAAATAAAACAAATAAATAAAACCCTTTTTAGACGACTCCAGATTTTCGAAAAACAAGAGAAAAGAGTTCGGGAGTTACAATTAAAGAAAAGAAAGGCAATGATTTGACAGAATCAAATTTAAGGCACCCTTTCAATCTAGCCAATGTTAGTTGCGAGATTTAGTCGAAAATTTTCTTAATCTAACGTATAAAACTTATCACATTTGGATGTTTCTACATGGATACAAATCTAGACCTAAAGGATATCGAGAGGGTCGAAATATCTTTTTAAAATTTAATTGGTGCAAATCATATTAATTATGATGTCCAAAATAAATTTTAGAAGAGGTCATGAAAAATGCAAAAGATTGGATTCAAAAAGAAATTATAATATATAGGTAAATATACATGATCTAAAAAGGGGGAGTGCAACATAATGGATAGTGGTTGTTAAAATTCGTGATTCAAATTTTCCTTCTTATAGAGGGGATGAGAGCGTGCTAAGGGTAAGGCTAAGAAGCCACACTTGATAATTTTTCATATTCGAAGGGTGACTCCCCTAACTTAATCAAGCAAATAAACTAGCCTACTTCTAATTTCTTAAATGGAATGCAAGTCTAAATGTCATGTTTTGCGCACATAGGGATAAGGGAGATAATAAATAGCAGGAAGACAATGCAAGATGAGAAAAGACCCTAAAAATGCAAAACATATATGAAATGCGATGAATATCACGTAAAAATGTGAATCTAGCACGAAAACGATCTAACAGGTCTAGCATTAGACTAACCAATTTCTATAAACTTTCACTAGCGTTAGACTAGCGAGAAATCGGGAAGAAAAGTTACAACTAGCATTGGACTAGTATGGTGATGTCATGCATTTATTATAGCTAAATAAATCATATGAAACATAATTAAAATAAATAAACACATAAATCACATATAGCACGTAACACATAACCATGATATCTAAATGCAAAAACCCTAAAGAAAGCGAATAAACACATACGCATACAAACATGCAAGCACACAAGCAAATAAACGCAAATAAAAGCCTAACTATTATATTCGAAGCTCTAACTACAATTTAAAGGGGAAATTTTAAAAAATAATAACCTAATTATTACATTTATCTAACTAATTACATTTTTGGCAAAATTAAAATCTATCTATTACATAACCTAACTAAATACATGTCTTGTGAGCATCTATTTATTATAATTTGGCATTTAAATGCCTCTCAAATAATCATCAAAATTAAATAAAATAAATAAAACTTAAAATAAATAAAATGTGTAATTAAAAGAAAAGACATTCAAAGCATGCAATTACACATAAAAAACACACGTAGGAGCACATAAAAGGATTAAAAATAATAAAAGAAGGTATCTCCCTTAAAGTAGTGGTTAAATGAGATTGAATTTGTCCTATTTATACTCCAAAATCAACAAAATGGTCAAAACATCAATTTAATTAACAAATAAATTATAATGAAATGAAATAATCATGAAATCTATCAATTAAAATCATTTAAATGAAGTATAATTAACAATTAAAGAAGATAAGCAACTTGTATTTAAGAAATCAAAGTTATTAGAGACCTAATTGTAAAAATTGAGAAAAAATTTTTGAGGTTAAAATACAATTATTATAATGATTAGGGGCCACAATAAAAAAATAAAGTTTAGGAACCAAAATGTAATTAAAATAGGGACCTAATTGAAAGCAATCCAAAGTTTTAGAGCCACAATAAAAATACCCGAATTTGTTATCATACTTCTTAAGAAAACAGGCCACTGGGCCATTCTTTGCTTCTTCTTTGGACCAAAAATCATCTTAGCCCAACAGAAGACCATAAGAAAAAGAGCAGGCTGGCCTGCCATTTGCTAATCCAACCCAATAAAAAATGTATGGGCTTCAACTGCTAAGTCCAGATCATAAACCCAAAATAAAACTCAAAGCCTTTTGTCAAAACCAAATAGAATAACATTTACCCAAATCTCAACTTCTTACTATTAAACCCAACAGAATATTAAATCAATTAAAAAATATGTAACCCTAATTTATATCCTAAAATCTAGAATTAATCTACCAAAAAAAACCACATAAAATATAAAAGGAGGATTAAAACTTAAAATGGGAAAAATTGGTTTGAATTTTCCAAATTTTGGGCCACAGTGAA